GATACCAGAAATCGAAATTATCTTCAGTAGAACAGTGAAACGTACACATCCGCGGGTCGTAGTCCAAGTACTTCACAAAAGTGTGGCAGTGTGATTCGTCCCGTGTTATTCTTGTCGAATAGGCTCTGCCATCTCTGCCGTTCGTGTAAGAACAGTGGCGGAGGATTTGATGGAATTAGATGGAATCAGCGATCGTTAGATAGGGGACGGGACAAAGAAAACAATATTGTTACTTTCAGAGAATATTGTACAAAGAGTAGCAAAAAGCGTTCTTGCAGGAACCAGAACTATAAACAAACCCTCAGGTTGGAAGTAAATACAAACATACCAGTAGGTCTGCTAGGTTATACGGATTCAACATCTGGACTTGACCGTTGATAATCGACACAAGCTGTTTTTTAGGGAAACTCATCAAAATTCAACTCAATTTGTGCAACTTTATAATGGGAACTAAAGTGCGGTGTTGAGAAGCATATTCATAGTTGTTGCGTGCTTTATTTCACCATATATCATACAATTTCCTAAAAGTGTAGAATCACAAAAAGGATATTTAGTGAACTTATCACTTGAATCAGTTCAGTTGTGTTTGTTTTACCGTGAACAATCTATTTCATGTGTGTTCTCTCAACAACTTATTCAAAACACAGTCAGAATACCAAAATAAAATGCATGGTTGAATGGCAAATGATAAATATCAATAAATTGTTAAGGATATCAGGTATTCATCAATTGGTTATTCCTCTTATTGTTGTTAGTTTATTTGAATTAGTACTTCATCGAGCCACAGGCTCGCCGACAATAGACGACACGATAAGGAAATGTAATTTCGTGACCTTCTATTTAGTCATTTGGTAAATCTGTAAAAGGACGTATACTCGTTCCGACACCACCAAAAGTATATATTGGTCGTCTATTTAGGGATCCAGTACCATGGATACGAAACACGGTTTCTTTATTCATCTTTCTTTTAAGTTTGGATCTGATGTTGTGAAAGGTAATTGCTTAATTCCGTACAATTACACGAATGATTGCATTATTTCTGTCCAACTGTTCGGAATGTTTCACCAATATTCAGCTTTCAAATAATGCAGTCCGAAAATAATACAGAAGAACTGAATCTCGACTGAATTCGATCAAATTATCATTAACTACGAACTGAAGAGATGACCAAGTGAACTAACAGTCATTTTTTTCTCTTGATCTGACCAAACAAGCATTTCACCAGTTGTATTCCCACTAATGCGTTTTACACATTATGCTTCCATCCAAATCGACGCTTGCGTAGTGTGTGTTTAATACTGATGAGCTATGTTATTTGATTTTGAGGTTATTTTCAATCACTTAAGTCAGCTGAACGATTGTGCGCGTGGTGACTCAAGAATCGACCGATGCTTTTTATCTACTACACATATTGTTTTCTTCAGAACTCTGAACAAAGCATTTCTATTCTACAATCAGTATGAGCTTTAACTTAACGATCGATTTTAGCTAGACATTGATGAAATTTATCCTGGCACACATTTCCTATTAAACTTAAGCACATCTAAAGCAGGTTTCCGAATATTTCAGTTTTACGATTTTAGGTGACTGGGTAACATGGTATGTCCTTGAACCAGGTGGCAACGAGCAAACACTGAGATTCAGTCAGAGAATAGTTAAGATGACTTCACTCATTGATGCACAGACGTCTTTCTCATAGATTATTGATAACCTACACCTTAATCTCTAATGAATCACATAAATTTCTCATGTGAAATATAATTTTTAATCCAATTTTACATTTATGATCGTCATTATTGTCATATTTAGCTTTTTAGTGTCGACGACTCTCATAGATTTTATGTGAGAAGGCTTGAACGTACGATAA